AAAACCAGTTGATGAACACATCAATGATGTCAGTTGTATAGTGGCGGAGGTGAAGGATCACATCGAGGCAGCCGCGCCGCTGGGGACCGCAGACTGGGGACTGCAGGCAGCTGGCCGGGCAGTTGGGTGTCAGTCTTGGAAGAGCACCGTGGCCTTTCCTCGAGGGTGATCACTCCCTTATTGCATAGCTCTGGTGTTGAAGGAAGCAGCGGTGTGTGCGCATGCACGGCGGCTTCTCTACGCATCTCCTGAGTATAGTTTAATAAGTGTGAACTTGCCGAAGTGTCAAGATGGCCTACCTGGTGGATGTGATGAGTCTGTTTGCTAGTAAGTTGTGCTTCCTGTGTGTCCCGCCTTGCTACACAACCACGTTGTAAATCTAATTACAAATACAGATAAACAGGTGACATTATCTGCAAAAAGGCGATGATCTCTTGTTATCAAATGTGCGATGCTGCTTGAAGCATACATATTGGAATAAGGTTTGCGTAGGATTCCATGGCTATGCTGGTGGTGACTGAGGTGACCATAGCCTCCCACTACACCTACACTCGCCCAACATGACCTTCCTCGTCCACGTGGCTCTTATCATTGCTTGTAAGTTTACAGTGTGTTTCACCAACCTTAGTGTGCTCACCCCTCCCCATCAAGAGTGGCTCTCACCACCACCACCAACCTTAGTGTGCTTCTCCATCAAGTGTGGTCCTCACCTCCACCAACCCTAGTGTGTTTCCCCCCCTTCCTATCAAGTGTGGCCCTCATCACCACCAACGCTAGTGTGCTCCCCCTCCCCATCAAGTGTGGCCCTCACCACCATCAGCCTTAGCATGCTTCCCTTTCCCCACCAAGTGTAGCCCTCTACCTATCTACCACCATTCCTGGTATGCTTCCCTCTCTCCCCATCAAGTGTGGACTTCACCATTCTTAGTATGCTTCCCTCCCTCCCCATCAAGTGTGACCCTCACCACCATTCCTAGTATGCTTCTCTCCATCAAGTGTGGCCCTCTACCTACCTACCACTATTCCTAGTATGCTTCCCTCCCTCCCCATCAAGTGTGGACCTCACCACCATTCCTAGTATGCTTCTCCCCCTCCCCATCAAGTGTGGCCCTCACCACCATCCCTAGCTTGCACCACAGCTGCTGTGGCATTAGTCTGGTTGCGAATATTTGCACCTTTTCAAGCTTCAGAACGTGATTGGTCGGGTCAAGTTCCACGCTAGTGCTGCATATTCCGAGATGGGTCAAACGTCGTGTGCAGACCTAAATTTAGGATTCTTTATTAAAGTTCCTGAAAGTTATTCTGACATTTTTGCTAGCCTTTCACAGGTGTCCCAGAAAACACACGCAACGTTAAATTCTAACCTTTTATTACTCTTGGTGCAAGAATGGGAAAGGGTAATATGTTAAGAACATAAGAACATAAGAACGAAGGAACACTGCAGAAGGCCTACTGGCCCATGCGAGGCAGGTCCAAGTCTCCTACCGGCTTAAGCCAATGCACCCAACCTAGTCAGGTCAGGTCACATTGACTTAAGGGAGGAACACGGCAACCGACCTGGTAGCACAAGCTATCAGGTCTAACTCACACCCACCCACATCCACTCATGTATTTATCCAACCTATTTTTAAAGCTACACAACGTTCTGGCCTCTATAACGGTACTTGGGAGTTTGTTCCACTCATCCACAACTCTATTACCAAACCAGTACTTTCCTATATCCTTCCTGAATCTGAATTTTTCCAACTTAAAACCATTGCTGCGAGTCCTGTCTAGGCTAGATATGTTGAGATATGTTGAGTAATAACCCACCCGAAAAGATGGAATTGCGTGCGTGCGTGTGTGGGGGGGGGGGGAGCTACTGAGAATACAAACATACAAAGCATCCAGGAAGCCATGTTGCAGGGGTGGTCAAGCAGGTGACGGCTTGACCACCCCTGCAACATAGTTGAATTGGTGTGAGATGATGAAATTATGAAAGGGAGATAGGGGACGAAGTATAGGCTGGGAGAACAGCTACAGTGGTCAACATAAAACTGGCTGTAAATATCATACCCCCAGCACATTCTCAAAACAAAGAGTTATAAATAACAAAAAAAAAAAAAGACACAATACCGTGACTGGAACGATACACAAATAACCCGCACATAGAAGAGAGGAGCTTACGACGACGTTTCGGTCCGACTTGGACCATTAACTACCTCCTCCTGGCCTATATATACTCCATCCTTCTCCCCTTTTCGTTAGTGTGGCTTTGTTAATGTGATGAATGGTTGTGAAAACCGACAAGTTGAAGATTGAGACACTAATGCAACATATGGGAATCTTTATTTAGGAAACGTTTCGCCACACAGTGGCTTCATCAGTCCAGTACAAAGCAGAAAGGTGAAAGGAGAGGAGTTTGAGGTAATCAATCCCTCAGCCTGGAGTCGATGTGTTAAGTCCATCAATCTACAGTATATAAGCCACGTCTACTGCCCTATGCTGTACATTCTACAAGATTGATGGACTGAACACATCAACTCCAGGCTGAGGGACTGATTACCTCAAACTACTACTCTCCTTTCACCTTTCTGCTTTGTACTGGACTGATGAAGCCACTGTGTGGCGAAACGTTTCCTAAATAAAGATTCCCATATGTTGCATAAGTGTCTCAATCTTCAACTTTGTTAATGGCCCAAGTCGGACCGAAACGTCGTCGTAAGCTCCTCTCTTCAATGTGCGGGTTATTTGTGTAAAGAGGCATAAACCTTCATAACGATACGTATCTTTAATTACCTTGTTGCCAGAAGTATCGCTGCCGGATTTTCTAAGTGGTTTACTTGTGATGAAATATTTAACTTAACCAAATATAAATAAATAGCATTTGAGGAAAAATTGGAAGTGTTAAGAAATTAACACTGACCACAACGTCAAAAATTGACGTACCGGTAATAAAATGTGAATTTGCCCTGGTATTGTCACTTCATATAAGACTCTTGGCTCTTCTACCCTGTGGATCAGTTACTAATGAAGAATCACACTGGTGCTTGCTTTAAGGTCATGAAAACACAATCTGCCAATCCCTATATTTTCTGCTTTATCTTGACGCCTCTGACAAGCAACTTTGTAAGATCGTTAGATAGGATCCTCTTTATCTATATCAATGTTGGTCTTCACTGGAAATATGGTATAAACCTTGGTAATAAATACCGACAAGTTGGTTTAGAAAGACACGTAAGCAAACACTATAACATATTTATTAGAAAACGTTTCGGTCCCAGGACCGAAACGTTTTCTAATAAATATGTTATAGTGTTTGCTTACGTGTCTTTCTAAACCAACTGGAAATATAAACACATATGCAGTATAATGTGATCCTTTATTGACTACGTTTCGCCCACACCGTGGGCTTTTTCAAGTCACAAACAGATCTACCTGGGGTGGAAGGGACGCGAGTATTTATAGTCAGGTTCAGAATGAACATTAAAATGGTATAAAATACCGACAGGTTGTTAGGTAAGACACACATGCAACAGTTAGGTATCTTGGCGCTATATAAGGCTCCATCCTGTCACTTCATCTCCATATTGTTTCATTCTATGGAACAATGCTCTTCTCCAGACTGAGGGACTGACCACCTCAAAACTTTAAGGGTGATTGATGGACTGATTACATCGTCTTCAAGTATCTTCTGCTTCTATCAACTTTTCTGTACTCGACTGAAGAAGCCTACTGTGTAGGCGAAACGTTTCGAAATAAAGATACCTAACTGTTTCATATGTGTCTTACCTAACAACAGGTTCAGAATGCTGAGGTCAGGTGGAGAATGCTGCATCTGATGATGTACCGAGTGGGGTTATAGAGTCTAAAATCTTGGGTAGCTTGGAAAGGAGATTGGATAAGTTTGTGAGCAGACCTTCTACAGTGTTCTTCCATTCCTGTGTTCGTATGTGGGATAGCGATGAAGAAGTTTCTTGGCAAGTGGTTCAGCTATGTTATAGAAGCCACTATTCTGGTTGAAGTTGTCGGAGTCCTGGAATCATCACTTATTTCTATATCCGACAACTTCAACCAGAATAGTGGCTTCTATAACATAGCTGAACCACTTGCCAAGAAACTTCTTCATCGCTATCCCACATACGAACACAGGAATGGAAGAACACTGTAGAAGGTCTGCTCACAAACTTATCCAATCTCCTTTCCAAGCTACCCAAGATTTTAGACTTTATAACCCCACTCGGTACATCATCAGATGCAGCATTCTCCACCTGACCTCAGCATTCTGAACCTGACTATAAATACTCGCGTCCCTTCCACCCCAGGTAGATCTGTTTGTGACTTGAAAAAGCCCACTGTGTGGGCGAAACGTAGTCAATAAAGGATCACATTATACTGCATGTGTGTTTATATTTCCATTGTGTCGGTATTTTATACCATTTCCGTTGGTCTTCACTGCTGAAGTTGCGGTTCCTCATTCAGGAGCTCCAGTACCTACATCCTACTAACCTTTTCATTAAGAATACAAGTCACAAAACGCCCACACTTTGGAAAAATATGAAGACAGCGTTTCCACTCGTCCTGGACCATTATAATACTTGTGTATACTCGCCTAGTTCTCATCTAGTTGTGGTTGTTGGGGATCAAGTGTCAACTCCTGGTTACATTTCTTAATCGTACCCATCCTTAAAACTGCTTGTGGTATTTGATTCTGTCTCATTTAAGTCAGTCCTACTTCCTGACCTCAATGAGCCTGAATATATACTTCCTGCCATCCATATGGCTCATTTGCGAGTTTAATTTCCTCTTTGTGTTCTTTGTTCCCTTTGTGTGTGGGCGGGCCTGGTGGTGAGTGCCGTAGTGTATGGTATTGTATGGATGCATAAACTATGGATTAGAAGTATAATACAAAAGTGAAATCAAAGTGAAAAATATGAAATACATTAATTTTCTTTATCTTTTCTACTATTTTCCATGGAACTATACGTCATTGTTTTAACTGTTGCGCTCTCTGTTGACAGTGAGCGTGGCCCAGGAGCCGTCGCTCGAACTCCTCCCTAGCAACATCCTGAAGCCGCTGGGTGATGGCGTCTACATCTCTTGCACCGCCAACGTCGATGACCCCGGCCTGGTCACCGAGATGACGTGGACGGGGCCCAACGGAGAGAGGATCCCCAACGCTGACGGCACGTAAGTGACCTTGCGTGGAGGTGGGCGCCAAACAGGGCGGCCCCCAGGAGGGAATGCGGGCGGGCACAGCCTAGATTAACAATTTAAGGAGTTGGATTATTTTATTGATGAATTAGAGGGTGGAGCGGAAAAAGTGTTAATGGTTGAGTAGAGGATGACTTAAGAGGTGAAGTGAAGAAAAGGGTTATTACTTGCATATAGGATCTTAGAATTTTAAGAGGGGAATGGAAAGATAAAAGGGATCTAAGATGGTGAGGAATGAGATAAGATAGTTAAGGCTCTAATCTAGATGGTTAGGTCTCAGGAAGGATGGTTAATTCTGGAGGGATGAGGACTCAGATGGGATATTTAGGACTCGAGGATTTATGGAAGGAAAAGTTAGGACCTGGGGAGGACTTTGGAAGTGAGTTTAAAATTTTAAAGGTAGTTGGTGAGAAATGGTATTGGGCTCTTGGTAAAGCAATCCTTAATGAGGTCTCCATTAGGAGGGGTGATAGGGAGAGAAATAACATCCCCATAACAAGAGGTAGTAGGGAGACAAATGACATCCCATCAGAAGAGGTGGTAGGAGCACAAATGACATACCATCAGACGAAATACCTAAGTCAGAATCTCACTGTTTAAGGGTCGTTAAACAGTGACCCACTTGACATCTTAGCAACGGTGAAATACCGTCTTGTTATTAAGAGGATGGTCTCTGAATGAGCATACTGAAGTAGGTAGAGTTACAACTTTCTTCAGTAGCTCAGGATCGGCAGTTTAAGTGAAGAGTGAGAGGCCCTAACTTACCACCTAGTGGCGGAATATATTGTTTCCAATATTTAATCTTAATCTGGAGAAGCATCTATTGTATCAGTGCTTGTGGTATGTGGAGTATTTTAAGGTAGGTGGAAGGAGGAGGTGAAATGGTGGTGCTTATGATACAGTTATATGGGCGAGAGGAGAGGGGAGGAGGAACAGGAAGGCGGAGCTGTAACTAGGGGAGGTAGAGACAAGAGCTGGTTAAGAGAGATGCCAGAGATAAGAGGTGATCTACCAGCCTCCTTCACCACCACCTCTGTTCCACAACACTTCTCTTTTAGGGCTGTGTGAACCTTCCCTCAAATATTTGCCGTGTGCCTGTGGATACTCGCCTATTTGTGGGTGCAGGGGTCGAGTCGTAGCTCCTGGCCCTGACTCTTCATTGTTTGTGCGTACTCACCTATTTGTGACTGGAGGGGTCGAGTCGTAGCTCCTGGCCTTGCCTCTTCACTGTATGTACTTACCTGTTTGTGATTACAGGGGTCGAGTCGTAGCTCCTGGCCCTACCTTTTCACTGTGTGTGTGTGTATACTCACCTATTTGTGGTTGCATGGGTCGATTCATAGCTCCTGACCCCGCCTCTTCACTGATTGCTACTAGGTCCTCTCTCTCCCTGTTCCATGAGCTTTATCAAACCTCGCCACTACGTCACTTTCTAGGTTATTCCATTTCCTGACAACTCTGTGACTGAAGAAATACTTCCTAGCATCCCTTTGACTTATAGGAGTCTTCAGCTTCCAACTGTGACCCCTCGTTTGTGTCTCCCACCTCTGGAACATCCTGTCTCTGACCACCTTATCAATTCCTCGCAGTATTTTTGTCTTTATATGTCGTTCTCATGTCTCCCTTAACCCTCCTGTCCTCCAGTGTCGTCAGGCCGAGTTCCCTTAACCTTTCTTCGTAGGACAATCCCCTTAGCTCTGGAACTAGTCTTGTTGCAAACCTTTGCACTTTCTCTAATTTCTTGACGTGCTTGACCAGGTGTGGATTGGTGCTGCATACTCCAATATGTGTCTGACGTATATGGTGTACAAAGTCTTGAACGATTTCTTGCTGAGGTATCAGAACTCTATTCTTAGGTTTGCCAGACGCCTGTATGCTGCAGCAGTTATCTTGATTGATGTGCGCCTCAGGAGATGTGCTCGGTATTATACTCACCCCAGGATCTTTTTCCCTGTGTGAGGTTTGCAGTCTTTGGCCACCTAGTTTATATTCTGTCTGCAGTCTTCTTTGCCCTTCTCCGATCTTCACGACTTTGCATTTGGCGGGGTTAAATTCAAGGAGCCAGTTGCTGGACCAGGCTTGTAGTCTGTCCAGGTCTCTGTAGTCCTGCCTTATCCTCGGCTGATTTAACATCTTACCAGAAGATATCAGAAGCACTGCTGGAACCAATGTAGAAGCCTTCAAGAGGAAACTGGACAAGTATCTTTACCAAGTGCCAGATCAACCAGGCTGTGATAGATATGTGGGGCAGCAACCCTCCAGCAGCAACAGCCTGGGGACCAGGCAAGCACCAGATGAGCCTGGCCCATGACCAGGCTTCGAGAGTAGTGAAACTCTCAAAACTCTTCAAAGGTATACCTCATCCTCAGTTGTGTGTCCAGCACTTGCTGGTGCAACCTACCATCTTGGTGGTTTTCTGGGAGCTTCTCTGTCTCAACTGTGAATACCTCCCTGAATCTTGAGCTGAGCTTTTCACATGCTGGTCGTTCTTTGTGAGCTCCCCTCCTTCCTTCCTCAACCTAATTACCTGATCCTTGACTGTTGTTTACCTTTGATGTGGCTATATAACAACTTTGGGTCATATTTGGCTTTTGATGCTGTCATTCTTGTATTGATGCTGGACTTCTCTCCTTATTCATGAATATTCATTTCTGGCTTTTTGACTCAACTCCCTGTTTTTCTGGGTCCTTTGTCTTCCATACTTTTTCCATGCTCTTGCACACTTGGCCTCTCCACACCTCTTGGTAAATCATGGGCTCACTCTGGTCTTTCTGTTGCCCTTTAGTATGAATTTCTATACTGCCTCCCTGCACTGTGTGGTCACATGTTCCTCCATTTCACTTACTGTCTTTCCCTCTAGCTTGAATATCCACTACACCTCGTGTAGAAATTGTCTCATACTTATGTATTCCCTTTTTGGAAGTTTGGCTTCTCCCATCCTTCTCGTGCTGCTTCACTCTCCATTGTTAACTCCACTATGTATTTGAAACTTAAGATTTCATGGTCACTAGCCCCTAGGGACCTTTCATATGTGATATCTTTTATGCCTGAACTGCTCAAGGTGACTAGGAGGTCTAGCCTTGCTGGTTCATTATCTCTTCTCCCTCTAGTTATGTCCTTAACATGTTGGTACATGAAATTTTCTAGTACTGCCTCCAGCATCTTGGTTCTCCATGCTTCTGGTCTCCCATGTGCTTCCAGATTCTCCCAGTCAATTTCCTTATGGTTGAAATCCTCCATGATGTGTAACTTTTCCCTGCTCATATGGGCCCTTCTGGCAATGTCATCTAGTGTGTCTACCATAACTCTGTTACTCTTGTCATATTCCTGTCTTGGCCTCCTGTTTTTAGGTGGCGGGTTGTACATCGCTGCTACCATCACTTTTGAGCCCACAGTATGCAGTGCTCCTACTATGTGGTTATCCACTATCCCTCTGACTGGTCCTCCCATCTCCTAAGAAGTCCATTGATTCTTGATCAACAGTGCAACTCCTCCTCCCCTCGACCCCCCTTCCCCATCTTTCCTCGGGATCTGATAACGAGATGGGAAGATTGCATTTGTTATTACTTCCGTGAGCTTTGTGATTGCTATGATGTCTGGGGACTGCCTCAGTGATTCTTCCCTGCCACTCCTCACTCTTATTTGTAATTCCATCTGCATTGGTGTACCACACCTTCAGCTTCCTTTCTAGGACTGTGTTCTGGGAGGTGGGAGGGGTTGGTGCTGGCTGTGGGTGTGGTAGGCAGGCCTGAATACTATGATAGTCTGCTGGTGTGGCAGTATTAGTGCTGGGAGGGGCAGGGACTGTGGATGTAGAGTGTAGCTTGTCTCTTGTTATTGTGTTTGGTTGGTGTGGGGTGGTAGGGGTTGAGGGGATGCTGTGGGTGGGTCTGTGTGGTGTTGTGTTTGCTGTTCCCTTCGAGGATGTCCCCCCCCCCTTGGGCCTCTTGTGCAAGTGTGTGTGTGTGTGTGTGTGTGTGTACTCACCTAGTTGAGGTTGCAGGGGTCGAGTCCTAGCTCCTGGCCCCGCCTCTTCACTGGTCGCTACTAGGTCACTCTCCCTGAACCATGAGCTTTATCATACCTCTGCTTAAAGCTATGTATGGATCCTGCCTCCACTACATCGCTTCCCAAACTATTCCACTTACTGACTACTCTGTGGCTGAAGAAATGCTTCCTAACATCCCTGTGATTCATCTGTCTCTTCAACTTCCAACTATGTCCCCTTGTTGCTGTGTCCTATCTCTGGAACATCCTGTCTTTGTCCACCTTGTCAATTCCTCTCAGTACTTTGTATGTCATTATCATGTCTTCCTTATCTCTCCTGTCCTCCAGATTCGTCAGGTCGATTTCCCTTAACCTCTCCTTGTAGGACATACCCCTTAGCTCTGGGACTAGTCTTGTTGCAAACCTTTGCACTTTCTCTAGTTTTTTTAGGTGCTTGGCTAGGTGTGGGTTCCAAACTGGTGCCGCATACTCCAATATGGGCCTAACGTACATGGTGTACAGGGTCCTGAACGATTCCTTATGAAGATGTCGGAATGCTGTTCTGAGGTATGCTAGGCGCCCATATGCTGCAGCAGTTATTTGGTTGATGTGCGCTTCATGAGATGTGCCTGGAGTTATACTCACCCCAAGATCTTTTTCCTTGAGTGAGGTTTGTAGTCTTTGGCCCCCTAGACTGTACTCCGTCTGCGGTCTTCTTTGCCCTTCCCCAATCTTCATGACTTTGCACTTCGTGGGGTTGAACTCCAGGAGCCAATTGCTAGACCAGGTCTGCAGCCTGTCCAGATCCCTTTGTGTGTGTGTGTACCCACCTATTTGTGGTTACAGGGGTAGATTCATAGCTCCTGGCCCCGCCCCGTGTGTGTGTGCGCGTGCGTGCGGTGTGTGCGCGCATGTGGTGTGTGTGTTACTCACCTAGTTGAGGTTGCGGGGGTCGAGTGTGTGTGTGTGTGTGTGTGTGTGTACTCACC